CGCCGCGGTCGCCGGCACCGCGCGCCTCTCACAGCCTGTCCGGAGTGAGCCCAGAGCCCTGCGCGGCGCCGCACGCAGCCACCGGGGGCGCCCGCGGACCCCGCGCCGCCTGCCAGGCGGAGGTGTAGCCAGTTGATTGGGTCGGGGACTGGGAGGCTTCAAAGTTGTTCGGCTCTGCCTTTACCCCTTTTCTTCCTTCTTCCATAAATACACTCAGACTCCCTCCTTACCCCACCCACGCGTTAACCCCACGCTGTAAGCCCTTTGTCCAGCCCCCCGTTGCGGAACCTTTTTGGTGCCGGAACCAATGTCCTCTGCGGTCGCTCCCGGAGGACTGTTTTGGTGGAGGACTATCAATACTCCTAGGAGGCCCGGCCGGAGCAGTTCCGGTGGAGGAAGGCAACGAAGGCAGCGGCGAGGTTTTCGGCTTCTGTTCCTGAGATGCACCGACCGAATTTTCGACCCCCGACTCCTCCTTACCCCGGCCCGGGTGTAGGAGGTTGGGGTGGCGGGAGCAGCTTCCGGGGTACCCCGGGCGGGGGCGGACCGCGGCCGCCCACCCCTCGGGACGGGTACGGGAGTCCGCACCACACGCCGCCGTATGGGCCCAGGTCTAGGCCCTACGGGAGCAGTCAGTCTCCACGGCACGGCGGCTTTCCCGGGGGCCGGTTCGGGTCTCCGTCCCCTGGCGGCTACCATGGCTCCTACTCCAAGTCCCCCGCGGGGTCTCAGCAACATTTCGGCTACTCCCCGGGGCAGCAGCAGACCCACCCCCAGGTAATAAAAATAGCCAGCGTTTGCCGAGCTCTTACTGTATGGCAGTCATGGTACTAATATTCCCTTGATGTGGATTATTTTGTTTAATCCTCCATAATGTGAGATATTGTTGTTAGCCCTGTTTTGCAGATGAGTAAACTGAGGCTTAGAGAAGTTTTTAAGATGACCCTAACAATTGGCAGAGCTTTACGTTCTGTTCTACAGCCCTCGTGTTTCAGCCAGTTTGCTGCCTGCCACTCACACAGATTTCCCTAATTCTTTATTTCCTCTCCTTTGCCAGGCGCCTTTCATTATGTATTCTGAACTGCTGGGCTGGGCGAGGGAGTGGGGGAGGGGCGGAGGTGAGGGGAGGGAGAGTGAATGGACCCACCAGTATAGAGTTTATCTGAGTTACAGACTGGTGCCATCTTATGTAATTGTTGCTTCCCCCTTTTTTCGGTTTATCTTTTGTGCCCAGGCTATACTGGCTTCTGCTTCACGGTCTCTCAATGGGAAATTGGTGGTAGTGAAAGTTTCCCATTGTTATCAGTGAACGAATATAAGCGATGGAATATTTCTGGCGTATCTAGGATTTCCGTGGCTCACCACTTGCATCTCTGGGGTTAAACTCATTTAACTGATTTTACAACTTCGTATATCCTTCCATGTATTCACGATGAACCAGGAGCTAAAGGAAAAAGAAAATTTTCATGAGATAGAAAGGTCGAAGAAACTTAAAGACTTAGGGGGAAAAGTTTTTATTTTTCTCTGGGGGAAAAAATGGAAATTTCAAGGAAAATTGAATACAGTAATTTATTTCGTCACTACTTGATCCCATCACCACTTGTACTTAATAACTCCGAAATATTAACACTAGAGACCTAAAAGCAAGGTGACAGTAGGCATGGAATTATTAATAAGTATTCTAAAATAGTTTAAATACTTTTTAAAAACAAAAACACTGACGAAAGCATGGACTCTGCAGTTGAACACACTTGGGTTCAAGTAACAGCTTTTAAATGGCAATGTGATCCCGCTAACTTTTAGCTAAAGGAAAAAGTACCAATTATCTCTCAATTTTAACCAATGATTTTTTTCCTAAAGGGTTCTCCAAGGACATCTACACCATTTGGATCAGGGCGTGGTAGAGAAAAAAGAATGTCTAATGAGTTGGAAAGTTATTTCAAGCCTTCAATGCTTGAAGACCCTTGGGCTGGCCTAGAACCAGTGTCTGTAGTGGACATAAGCCAACAGTACAGCAGTACTCAAACATTCACAGGCAAAAAAGGAAGATACTTTTGTTAACATTTATGAAATTCATCTGGAAGCGTCATGTGTCAGGAACATCTTGAATAAAACTTACATGTGTAATCAAGTCGAACTCAAAGATAATGACTTTGAATAATTAGTAGGATCTTGTTAGTAATTTTGTCATTGAATATTGTTGATATTAGAGAAGAAGGCAGGATAATTTGCAGTATTTAGTTCTCTGGAAGTGCCTATTACAATTTAGAAGATTTATGGCTCTTTAACATTCCTGGATATATAATGGACATTTGTCTTTGGATGTTTTTCAGTGTTTTAAAATAAAACATTTTATCTTTCTAGCTATTTTGTGGTTTTGTCCTAAGATACAGAATTTTTTAAAGGATGCCTCATAATCACTTAGAATGAATAGGTAAATGTTTTGCAAACTATTTTTGAAAATGAAATAGATAAGTCCTGCTTTGAGCTGTAGAAAGGTCTATATTTGTTTGCAGAGGAAGATGATACAGCCACAGTGATGTGTGCTTGTAAACTCTACAGGCAGGGGCATTAAGGGAAGTCCGGATTCAATTTCCAGTAGACTCTTAAAAGCTGGGTGCATTCTTAAAATTAAAAAAAAAAAAAATTGAAGAGAAAATAATTGAGAATTCAGTTTATTATAACTATTATTCTGCATACATAGTTTATCTAAATGCATTGAAACTGATTTGAAGTCATAGATGCCCACTTCATTCTAAATTTAAAAGGGAATATTCATACTCCTTTAACTGGAAAAGGCAAAAAACTATTCATGCATAGCTAGATCAAAATGTTCTTTTCGGGAACCAGCAGTTAGCGTAATGGCTATGTCGCTGGACTCCCACGTAGTCAACCGCAGTTCGCGTCCTGGACCCGGTGGCTTAAAACTCAGGCTGGGCGCGGGCGCGTGCGAGCCCAAGATCCCAGAGGAGAAGGGATTGCGGCGTGACCATCCCCCCTGGGGGGGGTGATTTTTTGCTTTTTGTCTCTATGTCTCTGTCTGTCTGTCTGGTGAGCGCACGTGCCCTATAGCAAAAACCTCTCCAAAAAAAAAATTGTTCTTTTCAAAATTTCCTTATCTCAGCATTGAGTAGTCCTCCTGAGGCCAAGGAAGATGGCTACCTGCAGTTTCAAATCATTTGGATTGCAAAAAGAAACATTTCTGAACTCCAAGTTCCACAGAAGACAAGCTGGCCTTGTTTAGGTCTTGTGTCTTTGTTCCTGAACCAATTAATTGTGATCATGGCAGTAAGACCTAATTAGTTGGAATCCTGGACCCACTTCTATGAGATGGGAGTCTTGATCTTTAGCCCCACTGGGCCTGCTGGAGTAGAGAAGTGGTTTTCCAAAGGAAGGGAAGCTAGAATGTATACCTACAGATGGAATATCCCACCAACTCTTTGAACAATCAACCTTTATAAGATGCAGTGCAGGCTCTTCAAGTATCTTGAGGTCACAAAACATAATGAAGATACAGCTAGTTAAAATTTTACTTTTGCATTCCCAGAAGGAAACATCTAAAAACAAAGTGGTTACACCACCAGTTAAAGCCATACCCAGGTGTATTTATTCATTAGGGCTTTCACAGAGCCAAAGGAGTAAATAAGAATGGAAGGACTTGAATAAAAGCTCTGAGAGAGCCAGAATTTGGAGGTTCTATTTCTACTGATAATTAGCTACACAAGTTCACTTCTCTATGCCTCAATTTTTCTCATGTGTAAAATGAGGAAATTAATAGTACCTGTGTCATAGATTGTGTTGTGTTTGAGGATTAAATGGTTTTATATCTGAAACTCAAGCCAGGGCCTGGCACATAGTAAGTACTCATTAAATTGTAGCTGTTACCTTCTGTCTCATTACCCCCTATATCCTTGTTTTTAGAGTAGTGCCTACAGAAATAGTAGGTGCTTGATACATATTTGAGGAGTGAATATAGAAATTTTGATTATACTTATACTGTTGTCCTACCTACTCCCCTGTGCACTAAAAAAAAAAAAAAAAAAGATGTTATTTTTCCCCAATATTTTAAAGGAAAAGTCCTTATTCCCTGACAACTTTTCATTTGAAATGTGTTGAGGTCATGATACATGATGAAAATACAGAAAGAATACTTTTGTAAACACCTTTCTTGAACATAGGTGAATGTTATCTTTAGGAACTGGCCCTTGGAAATAATTATTAAACCATCTTTTGGAGGTCATTGGGTTATTGGGAAAGATAAAGAAGTCAAAGAATTTTGTGCCAACATATCCCTATCAAATTTGAAACACATTTTAATTATAACTATTCTAATGGTTTATATATGTGCATTGTATTTTATTACTTTATAAGTGTAATAGAAAACTGAGGTAAATTTTTTTTCTCTTTGAATTGTGTAACATCTACTTTAAGAGGTCTGATCCTTTGTAACTTTTTAAAAATTTGTCCTCAGCAAAAGTGTATACACTATTGGTAGTGTGTTCAGTTGTTAAAGTTTTCTTAGCTTTGATAATTTGGTTTGTTCTATTAGCCTATTTTTGCTTAGCTGGGTGAAAGGACTTGGTCATTTATTAAAATTTAAAGTTTTGGGGGTTTTTTAAGTGTTCCAGGGAACACCTTTACCTCCATATAAATGCTGACAAATCTTTTAGAGATATTTACAATTGTATATTTCAAAACTTCAGATAATTTAAAGAATGGAGGCCGTGGTGGTTCAGTAGTCACAATGGTATGCCATACTGAACCCAAATGGAAAGACCCGGGATTTACATCCTGAGGTCTCTCTCTACACACTGGGCACATGCAAATTTTGCCTGTAATACAAACTGCTAGTCCTCTTCTGCCTTTTTATAATCATTGTCCCATTTTACAAGAGCAATCTATAAACAGTTTATCCAAAATTGACCCTAACAATATTTCAGGTCCCATATACTCTGGACAATCTTGCCACTATCCCATCCAGATATCGAGTAGTGTCCCTTCCCTTTGAATCTGAGCAGATATTTCTGACTGCCCTAGTGAAGGGACTATATATAAGTTAATATATTGGGTTTTCAGGAGAGTCAAGGCACATTTTTGCATAAAAACAATATGTCATGACTTTACTGACAATACTCTCATTATGAGTGAAGTATAGTGTTACTAATGAATTGTATTGGTGGAGATGTTCAGAATTTAGGTGTCTTATCAAGGAGATACTAATGACAGTGTTTAGTGACCCTATTCAAAAAATATTCTGCCTATTCAAAAAATATTTCCTCTTGTGAATTACATGAAAAGAAAGCAAAAAGCATGAACACAACATGAAGGAAAAGGCACCTTATTTTTCTGTTGAGCAAATGATAAGGCATTTTGCCTCATTTGTCTAAGAATTAGAATATTCAAGATTGGCATAATTTGGATGTATCTGCTGTGAAGCAAGCTTTCTGTTTGCAATAATGATAAAGACTCTGATAAATACCTTTTTCTTTTAATCCCTGTCTAAATAGCATAATTTGTACACCTTCGAGAAGATAGTTAAAAGGTTCATGTCCACTGACATACTAACATTGTATCTTCAAATTAAAGAACATATTTTAGGCACAGCTATAGTCGCACACATTGTTAAGATGCTGTGCTCTACAGGCTGGAACCACATGGAAGGTCCAGGTTCAATTCCTGGTCCCACCTTTTCAACCTAAAGGCCAAGCACAGTGATGAGGCCTGTAATCCCAGTCATTCAAGAGGCTGAGGCAGGAGGATTGTAACACATCAAGACCCTGTCCTGTTTTTTTTTTTTTTTGAGAGATATTTTTGCCATAAGGCATGTGCACTTGCAAGAGAGACAGAAAGCAAGAAATCACCCCTGGGGGGGGATGGTCATACCGCAGTCCCTTCTTCATTCTCCTCTTGGGATTTTGGGCACACATGCCCAGCCTGAGTTTTAAACCACCAGGTCTGGGACTTGAATCGCAGTAAACTATGAGGGAGTCTGAGTCCAGGACTCAAACCACGGGCAACTATATGGGAGTCTAGCAGAGTAACCATTACACCATCTGCTGGTCCTGACTCTATCTTAAAAAGAAGTTAGAGGTAAGTTCATAATTTTAAATTTTCTGTAACATTTTTCAGTTCATAAGAGAAACTTTGGCATATTTTTGGATGTTATAAATCCATATGGATTTTTCTAGCTAGGCCTATATCTCCTACTATAGTCACTCAATCCATTTCTCCTTTCATTTTCGTTCCCACTGTGTATTTATGTTAAAGTAAGAGAAATGTTTTGTTTTGTTTTAGTTGTTTTGATATGTACCTAGGGCATATGTGCCCTCCAGAGAGAGAAAGGGAAAGAGAAAATGACAAAGTACCCAGGATAGCCACACCACAGTCCTTTGATTTCTCCTTTCTGTATATGCACCCAGCATATTTTTCAAGACAGATCCAGGATTCAAACCATGCATTCAGCCATGTGGGATCCAGTTGCTTTAACCACTATGCCACCAACTGGCCCTATTGTGGTTTGTATAATAACTAAACCACTTAATAGTTATCAGTATACTTGTATAAACCCTGAACTTGTGCAGTATCTTCCACACAATTCATCTAAGACACTTAATGTGATTCACTATTATTTTATATACCACTTTGTAAAAACATTGCCAATTAAATAATCATATGTCATCAATTATAAGATGCATCTCAATTTCAAAGATGTTAAAATGTGTGTCTTAGTTTGATGAAATATTTTGTATAATACTCATAAAAGCAAAATACATACTTTCATGTAGACATGTGAGTTAATGTCACCAAAATGTAGTCAAGGACATAGTGTATTTAACTAGAAAATCAGGTTTGCTTCATTAGAGTTAATTCTTCCTTCTCATATATATATTCTGTTCTGTTGTTTATTTACCAATAGTTTATTGTGAGAGGATACATGTGCTCTCTAGACAGGAGAAAGCTCCCCTCCTGCCCCCGCAGTGAAGCATGGTCATACTGCAATCCTTTTTCCTTCATTTTTTAAATCAGAATTTTAGGGCACACATGCAGATACTCAGAATATTTTTCCAGGACTCAAACCATGGTCAGCCCTGTGAGATCTGGTTCCCTGTACACAGTGTCTAATCACTGTGTTAACAGAGTAGGCCCAGTATATTTTTTACTTTATAAAAGAAGCAGATGGTGTAATGGTTGTCACTGGATTCCCACATAGTCGTCTGTGGTTTGAGCCCCAGACCCAGCATCTTAAAATTCACACCAGGCACATATGCATGCGTGGCTAAGATTCCGAGAGAAGGGATTGTAGTGTGGCCATACCCCCTTGTGGATGATTTCTTGCTTTCTCTCTGGGGAGCACATGCAACCTATAG